CTGTAAGCCTCTTGCATCCTCGTAGAGACAATGAAACAAGGGAACTTGACATACCCTTGCTCAAGTGACACAATCCCATATCACTAATATCAGAACCATCTAGTAGTAATGTCTTTAACTTAGGGAGGGTGCTGATTGCTTGAAGGGCATCATCCCCGAGGTTTCTGCAGTCCCTCAGGTCAAGGACAACCAAACCCCTGTTGGAAGCCAGTCGAGTAACAGCAAAGTTGGTTAAAAGGTTACACCATCTCAAGCTGACATGCGTCAAAGAAAGGGAAGTTGCAGTAATGTCATGAAATATGAGATCAGTAAGATGGTTCCCATGAGACACCCTAAGCTTGTACAGCTTAGCACATGAATGCAGAAGAGTTTTAAAACCTGTTTCTGTAACCTGACAGAAACCACCAAGATAAATGCTTTCCATGCTCGAGCACTTGTCAGCCATAAGAAGGATCCCCAGATCATTTACTCGCTTGAAAAATGTAGGGAAAATCTCTTGGCTTCGTACTAAAGAAAGGTGCTTCAGTTTTCCATGCAGATTAATTTGTTGAAGACCGATGTTGGTGAGATCAAACGAAACCCTTGGTTCCATAATTGGTGAATCCCGAAGGTCTAAATGGGTCAATGAGGGAAGACTTTCAGATATCATACTGACCATGGTGTCCGTGATATAGTCCACAGACAGGCTCAATTTCTGTATGCCGGGGAAAATGCATGTTCGTAAATGATGTGATGATTGATTTGGGCCAATAGGAGGGCTAAGCAGTTCAGTCACCATTATTGAAGAAATGAATCCTATTTCCAGTGAAACGAGTTTTGAAGTTGCCAAAGCCCACACACGAGCAAAATTATGCCGCACAAACATTGATACGTCAAACATCAGGATCAGAGTCTATAAAAAAAAAAAAAACGCAACCTCATTACTGATGGTGAACTGATAGGAATAAGCTAAGCAGTCAAATTATATAGCACCCAGTCCTGTCCTTTCTTTGATACAATTATATTAAAAAGGAGAATATAGAGCACACAATAAAATTAACAACAGATGAACTTTAAAAGTGATCCCTACTTTTACATAAAGACCATCAGATTAACGAAATATTTGAATCCCAAAAATTACTTACTCAATTAGTCATGACAGTTTTAAGCAAATCATGTTTAACACTCAACCGTCATAAAGCTTGTAATATTACAACTTGAAGCTACTAATTCAGATTTATCTCAACAATAAGGCTCAAATTTCAGAAATATTATGTCAGTCATTTAACACGGTAAACATAAAATTAGTAATTCTAATATTAAGTTGACAATGCAATTAGCAACATTCAAAGTCTCCAATATGAGCATAAGACTTGGCTCACTGTGAAGGTTGTTGAAATTTTAGCCAAGGAGGTCGTAAGTTCTCAAACAAGATCAGCCCCTTTCCTTGCATGGCAATGCGCCAATGCCTGGATTGATAATTTTCTACGATCCCACAAGGAAAGGGTAATTTTGCACCAAGTTATAGGCCTTAGATGCCTTAATGGTCCACATTGATTCTACTTCTGACATTTTAGTGAGCATCAAAAACCACGAACCATAAGAGGTGAATTTAATCCAGATTTCCCATGAATCAAAATGAACAAGGAGGCTTATGATTTTGGATAAGTAGTCAAAATATCATCAACCAAGTGATCAAATGATACAAGTTCATGTAGAACTACAACACTAGGAATTGTTCTAGGGGGTTCAGAACTTTTAACTGGACTAGAAGCAAATAAGCACTGAAACAGCCATGTGAGTCTACATAAATGGTAAATGATTTCACCCATTTCATGATGAAATTCCCCAGCAGTTTGCACTCATTTACTGAAAAAAATTAGTTTTAACATAGTAGAAAACTTTTCACTTTATTTCTCTAGGATATACATCTGCAACTGCATTTTCCTGAATGTGTCTATAGAGATCAAAATTGAGGAAAAGTAGTACGTGAAAAGTAATAAAATCGCCATCACTATAGATAAGCCCCCACATCCTTTTAATTCTGCTTATGATGGTAGATTTCACATCTTACAGAAAGCCACTCGGGCAAATGAAACCTTACTTCCAACTCAGTGCAACCAAGGAGTAATTCCTCAAGATCAGACACGTCAATTGACCTCCCTCTTTTCTCAGCCAATGAACTCAAGTACAAAAACCTGAATAGAAAAGCGAAAAACAGCAAAGCTAATAACAAAATCCCAACAAAATTCACGAAATACATCTCTTTACAAATGACACTCAAAAAGGCCAAAACTTTACAATAATGAAGAAAAAAAATTTTACCTCCAGATAGAGAATTTAATAAAAACGCACTTCAGTTTCAGTTTAAAAAATTTGGAACCAAAAGGAAAGAAAGGAAACCCCACCTGAGGCCCTTGCATCGTTGGCCAATATGAGAGAGAAGCTTGCCGGTGAAATCGGCACAATTGTGAAGGGAAAGCTCTTGCAGGGAGGGGCGAAGAAGATAATCGAAGGAGGAATCGTCAAGTCGAGTGCAGTCAACTTGCAGGGTCCGGAGATAGGGATTGGTAGGCATCAGCAACGGCCTCAACAAATCAATTGAAAGCCCAATATCCTTTCAATTTTAGAAAACCGTAATCAGCAAATCACAAAGATAAAATCTTCGCAAAGGCAGAAAAAAAAAGCACGTCAGGCGCGACTTACGAGGAGGTGAAAGTTGGGGATGAAGGAGAGGATATGGGAGGCGCAGGAGTGGAAGGCCCGGCAAGTGGACGCGGCCGAGCAAATGGAGGCCACGTCCAGCTTTGCCAGGATGGTGGCGATGAGTGCCGACGGGAGGATCATGAGGCTCTGCGATGGATCCGAGTGGGGCTCATGCGGGTTAGCCATTTTCCTCTTCCCTTCTTTCTTTTTTTGCCTTGGTTTGTAAATCTACTCGTGTTTTAGCTAAGTGTCTTACCGTAGGAAGCAGGAGGAAGAAGCAGAGGAATATTCTTTTCTTTACTAGAGTGCGCATTTTGCACGGCCCACACTAATACTTTGTGCTACAAAAAAACTACTGCTAGCGATCCCAACGAGATGAAACGAATCTTATGTCTTGGGGTCTGTTTGATAACATAAAAAATTGATGAGTCTGAACTTTTTCAGATATTCAAATGTTTTGAATGTTTGATAAATGAAAATTCATTTGTTGAACTTGTTAAGTAGTACTGAACTTGTGTGTATTTTTTTCAACACAAGAATCCTAACTGAATGCTTAATTTTGATAAGAACCAATAGAATTACTTCAATTACCTTATCTTATCTACTAAATCTACCCTTGTTTATTAATTATGTTCAAAATTCTAATATAATTAAACAACCTAATATTCTCTATCTAATGATTTTCTATTTCTCTTTTCCTCCCTTTTGAATGACTTTTACTTCTTCTCCGTACTACTCATATAATAAAATTCATCTTTTATATTAATTTGATTTAAAAATAAATATTGTCATTTTCATACCTAACATTTTTAGCTAATTAAATCATAGGTTCTATTTCTTTTTGGGATGAAAAGATATAAGAACAAAATTGTCAAATTTAACTTATTAAGCATTCAGTTATAAATATTTATCAAACAATATAAATAGGTTTAGCATTAAAATTCAGACATTCATATATTTCTTTTTAGTGCTTAAAATTCAGCAAATTAATTGTTTCACTATTCAGATTTCAGAATTCAAACTTCAGAATTCAGATTCAGTTTTATCAAACGGAACCTTAGTGTCTCGGTTTCTCTTTTTATTATATTAATATATATTTTAATTTTTTATATTTTTAAAATTTAATAATTATAAATTAAAAAATTAAAATACATAAAAAAAATAAGATTTTTTATGAATTTTAGGCTATATTTTTAATTTTCTATTATATATTACTTTTTTTGATACAATTGTATTTATTTTTTATTTAATTAATAGTTATTAGATTTTAAATAAATGAAAAAATTAAAATATAATGTTTATAAATAAGAATTATTAATATAATAATAAATGGGACGGAAAGTGATGCGGGGAATTGGACAGAAAATCCGGCTGCGATCCAATACTCTAGAGTCTAGGCCTAGGGAAAATGAAAATCTTTGTGCTGTTGTGCATGAGCGAAAGAATGATGCAGTCGCCGTCATGACTCGAACACGATGGCCTCTCATTTGAGAAATATAAAAATAAAAATTCTGTTCGCTGCCGGGCCTTTTTCGCGAGTCACGCGTAAAATGAAAAAATTGTTCAGTGCTCGAGTCATAATTAACTGGAATTTTTTTAAAAAAATCTTGAATATTTTGAAGAATTTGCCGGGTTTTGGGGGCGGCTATGTGTTTGTAGTACAGTGAGTAGTGCACAACAGCTGGGCCATTGGCTCAGTGGCCACCACCTAGTTGGTGGGGTGGGAGGCAAGGTTTGTTTCCACCACCATATTTAAATGACTTGTTTCCAAAAAAAATTCAGGCGGGTGTGCTGTGCATCCGTGTAGTCCGGTGGTGGTTCAATCTCCTTCGGGTTATCCCTGGGCCTTCTTAGGTCCGTCCCCTTTCCCTTAGTGTAGAATAAATTAGATTTATCGTCTCCGAAAAAAAAAAAGAGTAGTGCACAATACTGATGTACAGTACTTTTTTTCGTTCCATTGAAAGTGTTCTGTTTTGCATTTTAGAATGTTTCAAAATATTTGTCTTGAGAAAATCAAGGCACCTTTTAGTATTTTTTGTTAAATATAGCACTTCTCTCTAATCATATGCATGTTTTCATTCAAAGTCAAATTTTGAAGTTATGAAAATAAAATTAAAAAGAAAAACACAAACGTCGCAATCAAATCACTACTATTTTTAAAAAGTTAAATTCTCAAAACAAAACCAAATAATTGGGACGAAGGAGGGAGTACCTCGTTTTGGTCCGACTTGGGTGAGTGAAGAAGGAAGCATTTATTAGTCACTCAAACAAGCCAAGGCAGCCTTTTCCCTTTTTTTTTTTTTAGTTCAATTTCCGTTGTTTTTGCCTTTTGTGGCCACGACTAGCAGTACAAATATACAATAACAAGGAATAATAAATCCAACGGTCAGCCCAATTGAGTCTGAAACTGCATTGAACTAGACAACATTTTACCACATTAACTACTGGGGGCAAATAAACGGGTACCGCAAAGGTTTCCTCCTACACCATCGCATACACACATTATTGGAACTAAGTTTGGCATTCTTGTTTTTCCCTCTAAATCCCCGCATCAAGACTAAAACCTCTATCGTCCGCATAATCCACAAAGCTGTAGAGCGGAAGCAATCTCTCACCATATTTCTCTAAGCCCTCTAATGCTTTCTTGGCCTCGGCTTTGAGATCCTCAGCCACTTCCATAGCCTTCTCCACGCCGTATACTCCTACATAACTCTTACTCCTCTTGTCCTCGTCTTTGTCTCGAGTTTCTATTTTCGCCTTCAACACATCGCTTCTGACCTGATATAGCACGCCAACAGCTCGACCAAACTTTCTCAGCAGTTGGAGTTCCTCATCCGAAGCGCCGCCCAACAGGCCACCGCAGACAGCAGAGGACTCGGCCATTTCACCATATTTCTTTTCTTGCACAAAATCAACTGCATTGGGTCCCCCTTCCAAGTCAAGGAACTGACCGGCAGCCATCCCAGTTGATCCCACGGATCTTGCAATCTCCGCGATAACCTGGAGGAGGCGAGTCTCAGGAACGAGATCAGTCGGCGTATGGGAGACTATGTGGCGGAAGCCAAGAGGGAATAAAGCATCACCAGCTAAAATTGCCATGTCAACACCGAATACAGTGTGGCTTGAGGGCTGACCTCGCCGGGATGGATCATCATCCATGCAGGGCAAATCATCATGAATCAAGGAAGCAGCATGGACCTGGTAGTGGTTGCCCCAGACAATACGGAATGAGAAATAAATATCAGAGATTATTGACAAACAATTCGTGAAACCAAATGTGCTACTGACGAGAAGACAAACTCACATGCATTCTATCATTTTGCTACCTAAATGGCCTTAACAATGCAGATTTGACAGCTCATTCTCATTTCTATTTTTTTGATTTTCTTAAGGGAGATTGGTTTACGATCAGAAGCACAGAATTTGGTGATTAAGTGGCGTTAAATTTGCAAGAGATAATGTATTATCCAAATGCACAAGATCTATCGCGAACAACCTGAGAGAAAAATCAATGTTAACTAGCACTGCTAACATTCAAGTCATGAATCATGGGTGACTTCAGGAGCCCCAGTGGCTCCGCAGTTGATGTTATACCCCCACACTTGCAGAGCATAGATTTCACCAAATGCTTTGCAGAAATGAGCTCAAAACCCACCAGCAAAGGTCCAAATACGTCATTGTGGTCCGTTTAATCAACTGCTTGGCTCAACTACAGGTACTGAACCAAAATAATTTAGTGATTTGCCTAGCATCTGGTTCCATGTAATTTGCAGCAAACCAATTATTCTTTCATACTTTCAACCAGCAACCAAAAACTCATGAAATAACCTTGGCCAATGTCTCACATCAATGATAGAATCAAACAAGCATTTGAGCTACTAATTTAAGGCATCAGAGTCCAACAGAAGTTGTTTAAACAACTCAAATTCTGTAATAATATTCCTGCAGTCATGTGTTGATATTCTAATAAATCATCAAACCTAAACCTTTAAAGCAAATTGAGCAAGACCAAAAAATACAGGGGAAAAAAAAGCAGCAAACTTGAATTTGTTGGTTCAATGTACTTATCCACAAACAAGACGAAAAGAGTCCATCATTCAAATACGAATCCTGGATGCTACCCAGATTCGGAATCGATAGATGGGGAAATCATATATATTCCTTTTCAGTATGGACCCAAATGTCTTCAGGTGGGTTGAAATAGATCATATCAAATACACGCAGGCGGGAAACGGAGGGAGGGAGAAGGAATCAAATACCATTTCAAGAGCACAGGCGGTGGGGAAGGCGGCGAGACGGTTACCGCCGAAGAGCTCGCAGGTGGCGACGCACATGACAGGTGGGGCCCTCTTGGCACCCATGGCAAGAACGGAGTAACGCATGGCCTCATAAATCTGATGGGGGTATTTGACCGGAATGGCCTCATCCAGCTTCTGGTTGATTTCTTCGATGAGACCGGTCCAATAAGTTTTAAGGTCGAATTGGGTCGCCACCGTTGATGATGATGAGGCGAAGGCAGAGCACCGAATTGCTGATATGGTTCTTGAGAAAATGGGACGACCGGCTTTTGGTTTTGGGAGGAGCTGGTGGTTCTGGTACATCAACATATGCGAAGAAGAATAGATTCCAGCGGAAAGCATGTTTTTTTATCTATATCTATATATATATATATATACACACACACTCTATGAAAATACTATAGTATTATTATGTTAACGTATCTGTAATTCTCAAATTCTTCGACTTCTTTCTTTCTTTTTTTTTTTTTTGGGGGGGGGTTTCCTGTCTGCTAATTTAGACAAAGACGGAAGCAATCAAGGGCGGGCAGGTAGGCACTAGTAAGTTAGCAGTGGTGGAGCAAAATTGGCGAAAGTGCATCAATGGCACTGTGTTGTGGAGGAGCTCTGGGAGTGGGATGATAATGGATGAGGGAGAGTGTGTGTGTGTGAGCTCAAATAAATAGAGAACGCCATCTGAGTTTTGTCCGATTGCTGTAATTTTTACAATTTTTGTTATAATTCATATAATTTGGATGTAAATTTAAATTGGTCGATCGATCGTTGTAATTAAGTTGATGAAAAATTCATAATTATATTAGAATTATAAAAGTTTGCATCGAAGTACTATAAGAATGTTAGACAGAATTCGACTCGTGTCGCTCTCAATATGAAAAGAAAAAAAAAATGTATTATTTACAGAAGACGAATGAAATTGGCTGTGACCACGAGTTTCGTTAATAGTATTTTTCTAATCGTTTGAAAATGATAAAACATAAATTTACATGTGTGGAGTGTAATCCACATGCCACGTCAGCATTCCACTTTCTCCTCTTTTATTACACTTTCACTCACAATGGATTACACTCCACAAGGTGTAATAGCATGGGTCCACAATTAATCAAATATTTATTTTAATAATGCATAACTCATATCCCATAAATAAATAAACTAATTTTTAAAACTAATTTTGTTATTTTTAAAAAATAAAGTACTAACTTTCGTTAAATTTGGCAGATTTTGAAAATTTGATGGATGATTGGAAGTGGATAAATTTGGGGGAAATGCATAATTTTGCACATTTGTAGGAATACCAGAAAATGGGTAATTTGGAAAATTTTGGGGGTTTTGATTTTGTGAGGATGATGAATTTTCTATATTTGGAGCATTTAACATATTTGTAAAACTACTCCAATTTTCATCCATAATCACAAAAAATGAATTAAATGAGTGAGAGAGTAGAAGTGTGTGAGAGAATAAAAGAAATAATAGAGTAGAATATTGGGATATATTTTAGTAAAAAGTGTTGTGTGTTTATATAGAATTCTAAAAAAATAGTGCCATTGGAAATAATAGTGCCGTTGGAAATGTTACCGTTGCCATAGGAAATAATGTTGCCGTTGGAAATTCTCGCTGAAATTTTACCGTTGTCATAGGAAGAAAATTCAATGGATTACACGCATCACCTGTGTGATGCGTGTAATATCCATGACACGGCTCCAATGGGGAGCCGTGTCATGGAGGGGTGTAATGGCTCCCCATTACACCCCCATTGGAGCTGCCCTAACTGCAATTGAAATTAAAACCAAAAGTATATGAGTATATATTTTATACCTAATTAAGAAAATATACCTAAATACATATTTTATGCCTAATTAAAGAAAATAATACGTGGCCCGCCAAACATCGTGTCCATAACGGTTGCGGAATAGAGCAAGACCATATTGGCTACTTTTGGGCCAATGAGTATTTGCAGTGTTCATTTATTTAAAAAAAAAAGAATTAAGAAATCGTTCTTTTCAAGTATAGTGTGGGAAATTGCTCAAATGCTCCTTAATCTTTTGCTTTTAATTTCAAAAGGGCAAAAAAAAAAAGTATTCTAACACTTTTTTCAATGAAGTGATTCCACTCTCTTTCATTTTTTTTTTATTTTTCTTTTTGGAGATTCACTTACCATTCTCAAAGTTGCTTAACTTTCCTTCCTTTATACCGTCATTATCGTAAAATTAATTACCCTCCAAAAAAAAACTCACGACAAAATCTTTTTCCTTTTCCTTCTGTTCATTTGGAATATTTTTTAATAAAGATAACAGTATGTAAGAGGGACGGGCTAAATCCACCAGCCCCCTAGATCCAGTTGGGTCTCCCCTTTAGATTAGGATAATGTAGGATATCGTAGAAAAAAAAAATTGTGGTTGACCAAAAAAATTTAATGAATGCCTGCCTTTTAATAAATGCTTACAAAGGGCCATGAATTGAGAATCCAGCGTTAGTGGTCGACTACGTCTTCTTTGTATCTTTTTTTTTCCTCCTTTTTCCCCTGAAAGAAAACAATAATAATAACAAATAAAATGGTTCGACTTTGATCGTCTCATTATCTCTTTCATTTTCAAGAAGGAAAAGTCGCGACTCACCAATTCGAACTACAGCTTCCAAATTCGAGGCTGCGGCGCACAACACGTTTGTCTCTGCCGGTCCTTCGATTTCTAAGGCTGACTTCCAATGAATCAAAGAATGCCAAAATCGATGTTTACATTCAGCTGTGGCTCTCAATTCTAGTCATATAACAACGTTGTCTTGTCTTTGCTGATTTATGAACTGAGGTTGTGTTTCACAACATTCATTCAATTCATTCGTCCCCATCAATTATCAAAGGTCAAGAATAGTTGTAGCCTCTCCATTTTCTCCGACGCTAGCTAAGGTTCTCTGTCAGATTGATGAACCGTTCGAGTTGTGTTTCACAACATTTATTTGTCCCTATCAATCGTCAAGGCAAAGCATAGATGCAGCCAGCAGACTCTTCATTTCCTCCAGCGCTAGGAGGTTCCCACTTCCCTCCCGCAATAGAATATAGAGGTCTTCAATGGGAAGGTAAGGATTTAACAGCCGAGTATATGTTGCGCACCCGTCTCCTGTTTGTATTACCTGATTGGAATGGTAAACCTCGATATTCTCTTATTTCTACTTGTAACGAGATGACTAACTTTGAGGATTTCCACATCGAGCATGGCTTTTTTTTTTTTAAAAAAAAATTTTAAATATAAAAAGATTCGATTTCATTCCATAAAATCTGAAATAGTAATGGAAAATACATCGAGCATGTTAGATAGATTAATGGAAATGTACTCTAGCATGTGCATCCTAAATGTGACCTAAGCCCCAAGTTCTGGATCATTGAGTATAGGAATATAAACGAGTCGAGTAGATTTCGAGCAGTGCTATACTCAAACTCAAGCTTGACTTGATATAGCACTCTATGAGATCGAGTTCGACTCGATACAATTTGGAATTCTATAGATCGAGTTCGATCCATTAAGGGTTTTGAGACGCTCGAATTCGATTCATTTGGACGTGACCAACATCCAGCCTAATTGAGCTCGATTACAAAAGGAAGTATTTTGAAAATTTACAAGAACTTAGTACATATATATATAATTTACTATACACTGATATATATATATATATATATATATATATATATATATATATATATATATATATATATATATATATATATATATATATATATATATTGGTCGATAAGGTTTGAAGAGCTATCAACCTTAACTAGAAATGATCGATACTTGACTCATTTGGATAAGTGAACTGCTCAAGATCGACTCAAACTCGATCAACACTGAGTTGAGTTGATTGTTTGACCAATCAACTCGTGAACTACTCGATTTGTTTGCATCCTAATTGGGTGGAAGCAATCTGTCAAGTGCAAACTACATGAAGAACCACCTAAGAGTTGGGTTGGGTGAGGCTGATCAAGGACCATCAACTAAGCTAAGGGTCACTCAAGCGTTGGGTGAGGCCCTCCAAAAATTGGAAAATGCTGCTAATTTCTGCGAGCCCACGGTCGTCTGTAGAAAGAGGCGAAAGAATGTCTCTAAAATTCTGAGTTTAGCTAGTTGCCCAACCGGGACGACAGCGGGATGGTCATAAGGTCTTCGGTTCCAATTTTCAAACTCTCTCATTTCTTGCTTCTTTCTTATTCGTAATAAGATTTGGAATTTCTTGATAGAGAAGAAAAACAATAAATAAAGCGAAGAATAATTTGCTCTGGCACAAATGTCCCCTCCAGTCATTTAGGTATAGAGCAAATGGCGCCAATTGTCACCAAACTATACACTTATACTAGTTCAGATCACTAAACTATTTTCTTAAACAAAAATATCACTAAACTTACTAAATTGCATGTTTTATGCCATTATGTCTAATTTGATTAGAGGTGGCAATATGGGTGATTTGGGCGGGTTTGGGTTGGGTAAAATGGGTAATGGGTATAAGTGAGTCAACCCATTTATATCCATTTAATTAGATGGGTATAAATGGGTAAGTCAAAAAATGAGTTGGGTAACCCAATTATCCATTTATAACCCATTTATTCTAAATTTTTACAAGCTCATATAAATTCATTTTTAAACTAAATTATCAATTTATACCATTTTACACCCATCATTAATTTTAAATATTTACTTATTATGCCAAATAAGTCTAATTATCAATTTTTTTTCCATCCGCATGCCATGTCGCAAAATTACATATTATTTAATAATTGAACAATGAGAATCTAAAATTTTGGACTAAATAATATGAAAGTTAACAAAAAAATTTAATCCAAAACTTTGAACCCCTAGTATTTGTGATTTTTATTTTTTGGACACACTTTCAATAATATTACTTACTTGTTTTCGATGAAAGTTGAAGTGGACATATAATGTAAGTGGTGCAAGTTTCTAACCTGATCCCCGAAATTCAAAGGAAAAACAGTCCGCAATGATCTATGCTAGACTAGCAACAAACATGCAATCCAACTCCAAATGCAAATAATTTTGAACAGGGCAGGGAGGATTTGATTGGAACATAGGAAGAGATTATGAGTAGGAAGTTTTAAATTCAATACCTTTTCTTTATAAAAAAAAAGAAAAAAATTAAATAATTTTTGACAGCCTTTTTTTTTTCCCCATGGTTAAGAAGCTTTTTTTTTTTTGTCAAAGTTAAGAAGCATTTGGTTAAGTAGAAAAGACGAAATGAAGGGAAGGAAATGGGTGATTTGACGGGGTTAATTGTCGGTCAAAGAAAAAGTCTGGAAGTTGGGGTTGGGTGAGGTGGTGCCAGCTCTTTTTCACCCCGAGAAATACAAAAGGTTTGGGAATGTAAGTTAAATGGGTTAAATGGGTTAGATGGGTTACCCAATTATACCCATTTATTAAATGGGTATAATTGGGTAACCCATTTATATCCATATATAAAAATTTAATATACCCATATTCAATTATTAATGGGCGGGTATGGGTAAAATTAGTTAAATGGTTTTATTTGACACCTCTAAATTTGATCGTCAAGACAAATGGAATAGCTATCGCGTGCAAAATCGGTGGTTCAGCTTTTTAATTGAAGTTTGCCTTCATAAACAGCCCCTTTTTTTAAGGCCAACATCATTTATGATGCTTCTTTGATGCCAATAGCCACAAGGAAACAACTACTATTCATAAACCAAGCACTCAACACAAAATTTACCTATTGCACGAAGCTTTGATAATCAAACATGTCAAATAAATGTCTACCAATATATATATATATGTATGTATGTCAGAAGCAAAAAATGTCGCAAATAAAAATCAAGAACTGAAGGAAAATCGCTCTTTCTAAGACATCTTTGGTTTTTGCTGTCACATTTACATGTGAATATTTTAAAGAAAATAGTTTAGTGATCTAAACAGTTTCCAACATTCTAGTAGTGTGTGATGTGGGATGGGCTTTTAACCTTCAAGGTGACGTTTATTTGCACTATTCACTTGTCATTTAGGTAGAGCTGTAAATGAGATGAATCGAATCAAGTATGTCATATTTCAACTCTATTCGTTAAACGATTCGAACAAGGTTCGTGTTCGTTCGATAACTTTTGAACTCCAAATTTGTGTTCGTGTTCGGCTCGTTTAACATAAACGAGAGCCGTTCGCGAACATGTTCAAAAGTTTGAATCCAAATTATTTTAAGTTTTAAATATGTCATACAAATCATTAATCATCCTCAAAAATAATTAAAGCACTAAGTGACTAAATTCCATTATTCATTAACTACATAACCAACATTAACATAAAAACAACAAATAAAACAGTGTTATATTGGAACTCGAGCTCAACTTGATATAACACTATTCGAGATCGAACTCAACTCGATTGAGTTTGAAATTCCATAGATCGAGTTCGATTCATTAAGGTTTTTAAGATGCTTGAGTTCGACTAGTTTGAACTCGATTAGAAAAAATAATGTTTTGCAAATTTACAAGAACTTAGTTCCTATATATATAATTTACTATACACATATATATATATATTATATAATACGTACCGCTCGATAACTCGATCAATATCCAGTCAAGCCGATTGTTTGATCGGCCCGGAAGTAGCTCACAAACTACTCAATTCATTTGCACCCCTAATTGGGTGGAAGCAATCTGTCTGAGTGCAAACTACACGAACAACCAGCTAAGAGTTGGGTTGGGCGAGGCTCATCAAGAATCACCTGCTAAGCTAAGGGTCACTCAAGTGTTGGGTGAGCCCCTCCAAAATTGGAATATATCAAACGAGAAAAATTATTCAAAGCCCACAAAGCAAACGACAAAAAAAAAAAAAAAGTCAGTCTCCGTACATCAAACGATTCCCCTATACAATCATGCAAAGAGATGCAACCGACTGTTATTGAGTCAAGTGACAAGGAGTTTGACATCCCTCTCTTTAAGCAGGGATTCGAATTCGAGTCGTGTGGGTGGAAAGAATAGCATTGGAAAAGCTATATCATCTGAAGGGGATCTGACAATGCCTTGATTCTTTCTGAATTATTCAGAATCCAATGCGGTCACCAGTGAATCCAATGTAGGTGAAGGTTCAAACCTCAGCTGCAGCCAAAAAAATTTAAGGGTTTTGTTATAGCACTTTTTTTATTTAGTTGGGTCTATATGCCCACTAGCTCCTACCACAGCCTCCTTAAGCTTCCCATCCTCCCTAGATTATGATAGAATAGGTTATATAAATGTATCGTTGCTGACAAAAAAAAAAAAAAAAAAGCGGTCACCAACCATTGAGAGATTGTAACCTTCCCAAAAAAAAAAAGGCATAGCATTACCTCAACTTTATCATGGATGATAAGAAGCTTTTCCATGAGTAATGGCAGTGGCGGAGCTACATTGTGTTGAGACTTGAGGGGCTGCAATTTTTTCAAACAATTCTAAAATGGTCTATAAAAATTTTAGAAATTATATGGTATTGCCCCCACTTTTTACCCCATTCCCTGAATTCTGATAATATTCCCTTTAGCCTCACAATTGCGGAGGAGGGGCTGGAATGGTTGTCAGAGACAACCGTTCTGGAAGGTTCACGGCCATGATTAGGCCAAAAAAATTTGTGCGGCTTAGATCACTCCTTGTAACTCGATTTTCACGCCGTGTGGGACCCACAAAAATGTTGTTCTAGTATTACACACTGTTGTTCTATTGTTACACCTTGTACAGATGATATTACACCGTGTGCAAATGGTGTTACACCTTCCGGAACGGTTGTTCTGACAACCATTCCAGCCCCGGATCACACAATTGCCTCCCAAATTTGTCGAAATCTTTTACAACTATCCTCTCCATTTCTACAACGGTGAATCTTGAACTAAACTATATTACACGAGTTCTCTTTCAATTAAAATGTAATTTTTTTGGGTAAGCAAATCCTATTTATTCAATATTTAACTTTTTATATATCTCCATTTCATATGAATTACAAGTCAACCAAACATTTATTTGACAATTTGATTGTGTATAAATTATCTGTCAATTGTATATAATTATTAGAATACACATATTGTATTCTTATGCAATATTTCATAATATTTGATGACCGAATAATAATGAATATCAAGTTGCAGGTTTAGTATAATAAATAGAGTAAATCTTATATACACTACTGATAGTGTATATATTATTACCGTTTGATTCATGACACGTGTATAAAAGATAAATTTCAAATTTAAATCATATATAGTTACCGTTCATCCAACGCTGACAGTGTAGAAAAGATTAATCATAATAAATATTTAGTTATTCTAAAAATTTGCAAACCAACGTCTTACAAGCAATGTTTTGAAAATCGGACCGGACCGGACGGTTCGACCGGTTGAACCGCGAACCGGCTATGGCACCGGTCCGGTTCAATGCCATAGTTGACTTTGTCAGAAAACCGGTCAAGAACCGGTCGAACCGTAAAAACGCGATCGAACCGCTATTGAACCGGTTTTCAACCTTTCCTTTTTTTTTTTTTTTTTTTTTTTGCAAAATGCAGCTATCAAGATTCGAACTCAAGACCTTTGTAATAGAAGACCAATGTATTAACCGTTGCACTATCACATCCTATTAGTTTTTTTTGATAACTTATTTATATAAAGCAAACACTCATATTTCTTTTTTCCATTTTTCTTACAAAATCTCATCCTCTCATGGCTCTTTCTTTTTAATTTTCAACTCTCTCTCTTTCTCTATCCTCTTTTTTTTTGTCACTCCCTTTTTAATCAAACCTCTTTATTTTTAATTTATTGATGTTTTCTTCCATCTTTTAATTTTGTTTTTGTCCATTAAATTGAAAAAAGTTCAAAAAGAATTATTTTTTTAACTCAAATTATTTAATGCTACAACCACTCACTTTTATCTCATTTTTTGTTTCTTATCAAGTTTACATTTCTATTTTCGATTTTCTTGACTTCCTTCGAACTCCAAACTTTCTTTTTTAAATTGCAATCTCTAAAACGTAAATTAAAATTTAAGTTCACAATATCTAATTTCTCATAGACGTGAATTTTGTATAATTTCAAAATATTGTGATATTTTTGGGTTGGATTTAGATATAATTGAAATTGAGATGAAATTTATTTTTTTTAACTTATAATTTAAAAAATTTATTTTTAAAAATCCAAGTTATTAAAAAATAGTAAACCTTTCATCATATAAAGTATTAAATTAATTCATTACATGTCTTATTTTGTACATATATATATTTTTATATAAATAATTTTTTAAAAAATTCATTGAACCGAGGTTGAACCGATCCGACCGATTGAACCTCGACCCTTTCACTTCACCGATTCAATGAACGGTCCGGTTTTTAAAACACTGCTTACAAGTCTAAACTACTCGTGAATACAAAGGTGCAGTGGGAGAAAAGACTGGAAAACAAAATGCCCAGCCAGAAGGCCCGCACGTTCCACAAACATCCACGTAGGGGCAAAAAGACTCTCAACTGAAGTTTTGCTTCACTCTGCCGGTGATTATGAAATGATTATAAAGCTGCGTAAAATTCCCCCCAAAATCCAATTTCGACCAGCGTCACCGCATTTTTGGTGAATAGCATTTACAGTAGTATTTAATCTGATCAACCAAAACCCATTTCTGGGAATCAAGGTTAAAATCCAATCCATATGGCCGCTGCCGAAACAGATTGGTCCCAGCTTCCCGGAGAACTCCTGGACCTCATCTCCAAACACCTCCCATCGGAGGTAGACCTCCTCCGCTTCCGTTCCGTTTGCGCCACCTGGCGATCCTCCGTCCCTCGCCCCTCACCCTCTCCCTCTCGTTTCCCAATCCTCCCAAACGCCGGCATCTCCGATACCACCTGGGGCTTCTACCTATCCAAGCGCACCATCTATTGCCTGCAAAACCCCGAAACCCCCCTCACTAAAGCCTGGATTATCAAGCTAGAACGCGACCACCCTGATCGGACCCACTTGCTCAATCCCCTCACTCGATCCCAGTTTCGACCCCTCCCACACAACTTCCCCAGAAGATTTGATTTCTCCAATTTGCGCGTTCGTGAATTGGGCTGTGAGTTCACTCTGCAGTACATCAATTATCGGCCCTCCGCTAGTTCCCTCCTTGGCGATGCTGGCAATCTCTACATGGAGAAAGTTGCTCTCTCTGCCAATCGACATGGTGAGGGATTTGTGCTCCTGACAATTCATGTTTCTGGGAAATTGGTCCTCCACAAATCCGGTGATACCAAATGGACCGTCATTCCCGATTTGCCTTCTCCCTACGACGACGTCATCTTTCATCAGGGGAACTTTTATGCCGTCGATAACACTGGCAGACTTGTAATGGTGGATTTGAATCCCGGATCGATTCCTGGTGTGAGTGCTGTCGCCGGCTCCATTTTCGGTGGGGATAAGAAGTTTCTAGTGGAGTCTTGTGGGGATTTGGTGTTGGTTGACATGTATTTGAGTGTTGGGCCCGAGGATGATCTTGGATACAACGAAGCCCTCGAGTTTTACGAGGAATTTGATTGTTTCATGAGCGAAAGGACGGTGAAATTTAAGGTTTTTAGGCTTGATAGGGGTCGGGAGAGGTGGGTTGAGGTGAGTCATTTGGGGGATACCATTTTGTGTTTGGGAGATAACTGCACATTTGCGGCTTCGGCATCCGAGCTTAATTTCCCTGGCAAAGGGAATTGTATATTATTTACCGATCAGTTCTTCCATGATAGGGAAGATGATGGGGGTTCGAAGGGTAGTGGAATTGGGGTTTTCGATTTGGAGAGTGGTAGTATTGGGCCCATAACCTCTTATGAGGGCTATTCTGAGTTGTTTTGGCCACCACCTGCTTGGGTTTATCCCCCTTCGGCGGTTGAAGTAAGTGCTTCCTTTCTACACTAGCTGTTCTGACTCATGTACGATGTTTTTGGTTAATGGCGGTGCTAAATTATCAGTAGTGTCTTCCTAGGACTTTTCGTGTATGATTTACGTAGACCCATCTGTAGGAGTTGATATCTGGCTTTCCTGGACTTTAAAACCTTGAATCTCCATATAGCGGGACTGCAGCTAGATTAATAGTGTGGATAAATGTTTAACCTCCTCACTGAGGTTTTGCATTCTGTTCTCATTTGTTGCTGAAGCAAACCAATCTGACTTCGTTGGCGTATCCAATTATTTCTTTTGCAGGATTGGTTGGAAGAACTCAGCATCTAATTTGTTAGTGATCTTGAGAGGGGGATCAGCTAACCACTTGAAGGGGTACTAGAGACCGGGTTCTTCATTTTCTTGTACATACAATAACGGGGTTGATGGCTTTTAGCATTTTTTTCTACTTCTAGTTTCATGATTTTTCATATTAAATCCTGTACCATTTATGGTTCAAGGGATTTATTTCATTAATACAGGCGGCTATTCAAGATTGTTATTCATCTTATTGATGATGTACTGAATTGCCAGATGGAAACCATTTTGGTCCAATTTAACTTTCTACATGTCGGTCTTACCTGTGACTGTGAGCACCATTAGACCTGGTTGAGTGAAACCCATGGAGTTAGTAGGAGGAGGGGGAGGAGCGGTAACTGTTCCTGAAGGATCATGGCCAAGATTTGGTAAAAAAAAAAATGTAAGATCCAGATTGCATCTTGTACATCGTTTTTCACATCATATGTGGGGTTCACAAAATTTTGTTCTATAATTACACGCTGTTGAATGTGAGTTACACTAGGTGCATACAGAGTTACACGCTGTGCATTGTGCACAAAACCTTCGGGAATGGTTGCCTGCCCCTGTCCGAGTTAGTATGGGCAATTTTATGACAGTTCCTTTGTCATTCTCATATATTATCCTCGTTTTCTCCCAAGGATATGGATTGGCTTTGGCAGACATAAAGTAATACCGGTGTCCGGTGAAAAAGTTAAGAACTGTGTTTTAGATGTGAGGTTATCGGCCAGATGGGAGGTTAATCCCAAATAGACAATCAGAAAAGGAAAAAAGTAGAGAGAGAACAGACAAATTATGATACACTCACATCCTAAAAAGGTTGATGGTGGTTTATTTCCCAAAAAGAAAGAAAATACTATAGTTAGAGGGTGGTTGTTTCATTGCATCATGATTTGCTTTCTTATTTTGCTTCATAATTTATAAAGTCGCTTTCTTGTTTCGGTTCATGATATATGGTAGAACTTAGCAACGTAATTTTTTTTTCATGAAGCTCCCTTCTTCATGCTTAATTTGTGATCGAAGTTTAACCTGTGCTTAAGAGTATGGCTAGTTTGATTCGGCTCTATTATCCTTTTTCTTTTTGGTTGTGGCACTTCCTATAGTCAAAATTCTGCTGGAGCTAAATTCATTTAGATGCTGTAACATTTGCATCCGATTTGTCCTCTAAGATCTTTGACAAAATTCATTTAATTATCTCAAAACCTCTGTTATCTTTAGTAATCCTATGTTAAACTCTCATGTCACGCAATAATCTACCTCCTCTGAGAGGAATTTGGTCCTCGACACCAAAACAAGTACAAAGTTAGATCTTGTCTTTTCCTCAGATTTAATTGTACAATTTAGTAGGCAACTCTATCAGGCCTAAACTTACTCTGCCTCAGCTATGTAAGGTTTTAGAGAATTCCTTGGCTGCATCACTGTATCCAAGTCCAATCAATCCTTCCATCTGCTAATTGGCTCTCATCAATCTCCCTGCTCTGCCACTAACAGCATAAATAGGGCAGCAAGTTTCTTTCTTTATAGAGTGACAGCATTTCTATAGTCCTGAGGCTTCCAGCATAAGACCACAAGTTACCCAAGTTAGCATGTATCACTTTGTCTTACTTACGGTTCGTGGATCCCTATAGCTATTCTTATGCAGTGGCGAAACAGCTCTTCCGGGGCTACCACTGACCAGAGGGGATAAACAGAATGATGGCGTTGCAAAGGAAGAAGTATAAGGGGTGCACTGAACGGAGAATGGACTCGGTGAGATTTGCATTTGGACAGGAAGACCACCCAAACCTCCCCTGTTGAAAAAGGACACAGATCCTATTGCATTGCAGTTCTTGGTGGCATCATCTACATACAAGAGATCATCAATCCTTGCCATCACATTGAATGCCAAGCTCTCCATTACCCTTGAGTAGCTTTCCAGGATTGACTGCCCGACATCCTAGACAACACATGAGAAATTAAGAGATACTTGTGGTGGTGAACTCCAACAATACATACTTATCTTTACATAGGTGCATCATGTAATACAGTAATTAGTGTGTGCATCTCTCTTCCAAGTTCCAAGTGATTCCTAAAAATCTGGTCCTTTTAGTGTAATCGAATACAGCTATTCACATAATGCCTAGGGAAATTGAGAATCGCTATGCCAAAAATCTTTTTGTGAATCAACTCAAGGAGTCCTAATCATAATTTTTAGATGTCAAAATTATAATTTGTGCATTTTATTAGCTCAACAAATAATCTTGATGATACATGTAATGTGGCATTTATATGGACATCATTAGCACAATCATTTGGGTCATGCATAGACAAGTAAAAAATATGTAGACAACTGCATCAACTTACATGCCTCCACGAATTCCATGCCCTTTGCTCTATGCTATGTTCTGCCGATCTGAATTTACTAAACAGTTAAAAAAAAAAAAATAGCGGTTGGGTCTAAACTACCTTGTTGTACTGAATTTTGTTCATATCTAATGTGGTTTGTGGTAGACCAGGGAAATGAAGCCTCAGGCTATGCAAGAGCAGTTCAGCCCGTTGTGCCAGAAATTGATTCTTCTCAGCATCTGCAGCCAGGCCCTTGACCTTACCACCCCAAGATTTACGCTTTGATTTCTGACGATTCGGATGCTTTTTCCTATCTTTCAGGCTCCAAACATGCACAGCTGCTTCAATTCTGTTTGCTATTTCCAATGTGTGATGCTCAGATGACAAGTCTAGACAATCCAGAAGACTTTCAGGCGAGAATTGATCAGCAGCTATATGACGGTAGATCATATCACCCAGACAAGCTTTCCCATTCTGCAGTGGCAGTAAATTAAACAAATAATAGTCAAAGTTACTCCACGAGGTTTCAGATATAAGACGAAAAAAGTAAATGTGGATAAAACATTTCTTATTCGCATATCTTTCAGACAACCCTTGTTATTAACATACTCTGTTATACTTATCCTTGCCATAGATAACACAGCACATAATAATGACTGGCAAAGTTTCTTTTTGTCGTACTAGGCAAAAAATCCTCCTTTATGTACATTGGACAAAAAGATCAGAACCAAACAGAGCTACTAGGCGGTATGCAGCTAGTCTGGAATAATTTTAATTCCACATATTATTTTTTTTATACTAAGAATCATCAAACCAGTTTGAGAATTTGCCATCACTCATCCAGTCATCTGAAGCAAATCAGACATTCATCCTGCCATTGGAAGTACAAGTTACATTGTACATCAAATGCTGCCAAGAATACATCCCCAAGAGCAACGAAACATTATAAGTAGACTGGACTTGTAGTTGATAGTAATGTATTGAACAAGTCTAAATGGGATCCAACTTAAGGCCTCCGCTTATTTCAAGATTTTCTTTACTTTCCATATCAAGAGATAAGTAAATCATTCAACGATTGATCTAGGCACATCTTGTTTTTTATCAGATAAGATGTCCTGCAACAAAAGCAATTCAGTTCTAGTTGAGTCGATTTGGTTATGCAGTAAGCATATGATGACAACAACAGAAATAGAAATAAAATTCAGCTCAGGCAGAATAAATCAATCCAAAATTAAAATAACATACTAGCGCCTACATGCCATAAATTATGGATAATTGGAAGATAAGACTAACATGAAAAAAAATAATACACATACAATAAAATTTCTGCATGCTTCGCTATTATCTAGACAAAAATTTCTTAAACAAAAGCCAACACACATTCATCAAGATAGAAACTCCCTTTCATACATTTAAAACAAATGTAAAAGACAAATAGGTCGACCTTATAACAATAATAGCCAAAAAGGTAAAAGAAGACAGAACAAAAGAAATGGTAGAAAAGGAACCTTGGGCAGTGAGTCTAAATAGGCACTAGGAATCTCCATTTCAGAAAGTACATTGCTGTTTATTGCTAAGGCTGCCTTGAGTATCTGATTCGTGCAACCTCTGCACTGCTGCAACCTCTTCCTTGCATCTTCAGATAGCCCCTTAGGATGGACTTTCGGGCATGGAAGCCACCATTTGTCTTCCTGCCTAATTGAAGGCCTCCCACTGGATACAGATGATGAAAAGGCACCACCGCATTCATTTGGGTCGGCCACAATTATCCCTGGGTCTTCGTACCAAAACTCTGTATCCTGAAACCCTTCAAGAATGCTAATCAACATGGCATCAAGTTTCTTGAGAGCAGGGAGATTCATGTACAAATCAGACCGGGGCCTAGTTTCCATTACTTCGTAAATCCCGCCACCAGGAAGCTGCTGTTTCGAGGGAACAAACTCCACAATTGAATCACTCACACACAGAATCCACTCCATCTCTCTACACCACATTGCCATCTTCTGAGGTGCCATTGGTTCCAATCTCCATAGTTCCCCAAATACCGTTGCTACATGACCAAAATGAATATGCTGATTTCAATAACAATTAATACGTGCATATGCATTCTTTTTTGATCTTTTATTAATTTTTTTTAAAGGAAAGAAAGATGCACGGAGTACATAAATATGTACATATGCTATATACTTTAGATACAATGGGATAGACATTTGACTAACCAGAGAGATTGGTGATGGCATTTGAGATAGCCAGAGCCGTACAAACTCCTTTGCCACCCCCGGACATGTCTTCACCAAGTAACAATTTAGCAAATCTTTCCTTCATCATCTCGATTTCTAAATACATTGTGCAAAAATGGGAGGGGGTGGAGGGGAAGTCAAACGGTGTGGAAAATATTCTATAATGCTATTGGAGTTAAAAAAAAAAAAAGCGCAAACAAAATATTTATTTGTGAGGAAATGAATTACTGATTAAAGGTGAGAAACGCAAAAGCAATGCACGATCTAAGAAAGAATGAGCAAAAACCTGAGAAGCAAATTGAAAAGATCACGACATTATTCGCATTAAATTGGCGGAAAAAGAAAAGAAAAAAAAAATAAACGAACCGGACAAAGGGGCATCGCGCTTGTGAGGGTGAAGCATCATATCCTTGGCGTGAATGCCCGGAAAGATAAGAGTCGGAGGGAGGAATCCGGGGTTGGGGAGGGCATTATTGTGAGGAATGCGGTAATTAGGAACCGGAGAGGAACGTAAGGAAGTAGTGGAGGCAGTGTCGTCGTGGTAGGGGAAGCAGCCGGAACTCTCTGACTCACTGACATCGGCACTCAAACTGTAGCTGCCACAGCACCTCCGGCGGTGCTGATCAGAGCCTTCCTCCGACGACACACTCCCCATTTTTGCTCTGCTCTTGTAGATTTGCTTTTCTAGCCTAGAAAAGCTTCAAATTTTACTAGTACAGCAGCACACAAGTGGAAAAGGCTTGGGTGGGTGGATGATGAACTGAGGTTGAAGACAGAAACGGAAACGGAATGGGGGCTGACTCAGCGGTGTTTTTTTTTTGCTCCTCCAGGAGTATTTGTCGAGTGGACATTCAACAAGTGCTTCATGAATTTTTTTTTATTATTTTAAACAATTAATTACAAATTTTTTTTTGCACATTTATTTAGTACATTGTAACTAATTTATTAATGACTTGCATCTATATGTTTGTATTATTTAAGTCATTATATTTTTTTCTAAATCAACTTATAGCTTTCATTTTTTTAACTATTTTTAATCATGTTTTGGCACCATTGATTTGATCATTTATTACCAATGTTCTTTTTTTACTATAATGATGATGATAATAATAATAATAATAATAATATTATTATTATTAATTAATTAATTAATTACAACTCTTTTTATCTTTATTCATGATAAATTTTTATCAATCTATTAATAAACATGCCTCACACACATTTGAATCAATTATGCCATTATTTTTTTACTTCATTTTTTCCGCAATCAACTCATGGCTTCATATTTTAATTATCTTCAAAACAAAACTACATGATTAATCTTAATTTTATTTTCACGATAATTTCACTAGACCTTCAATTGGCTTTCTTTATAATACTAAATGATTACTCTTAATTTAATTTCAAGTGAAACTCGAGACGAGCAAAATTCTAATAAAAAGATTTGCGAGAGTAGGTAGATTACATATAAATATTTTTCAATATCAAGCGCATATATGTTTATACTTTACTTAATTTTTCACATTTACTGGTATATAATGATAATGAAAAATCAGTGCTTGCTAATTTGCAATTACATGTGGAAAATGAACTTCAATAAAAAAGAAGAATAAAACAAAGTTCTCGAACAATAGAATATTCTCAAATGTTATTTACTATATCCTTAAAAAAAGTTCAAATTAATTAGATATTAACCTGTTGTTTATATGAATGGTTGTTTTATTTTTTTTTTATTGAAAATTGACGTGTTATAAGATTGTATAAACAAAATATATTGTTATATAAATAAGGTTGAATTGTTTTGATTATATGCATAATAATAAGGCTGTGCTTTGTTATATTTTATTTCAAATTATCAAAAATAAGCATAAATTGAGTATTCCCATTTAAGTAACGGGTTTAGAACTAGTAATCTAATATAACCAAATCATCCCTACTATACCAGGGCAAGTTATAATGCAATAGCATAAATTTTAATCCCATAGCTATTTTTGCTAAATTATCGATGTTATTCTCCTTGAAGTTAGAACTTAGAAGTCGCCCCTTTTTTTTTCCTCACGTTTGTTTGTCTTGTTTCCCTTATTTCTAATTTCTTCCTTCTGTCTACTGACTATCAATCCCTTCCAAACCCTATGTCAAAATGACATTTCTTTTCCCATCTCTTGGGGCCAGACTACTTCTCTCAAACCGTGAGAGTTCGCCCCAAAGATCACAGCACGATAACTCCCGAGAGTTGAACCTGAGACCTGCTCCTAAAGAAGAGACTATGGAAACCGTTTGAGCTGCCGGGGGCTTCTAATATCTTCCTTCTGTCTACTGACTATCAATCCCTTCCAAATCCTATGTCAAAATGACATTTCATTTCCCATCGCTTGGGGCCAAACTACTTCTCTCAAACTGTGAGAGTCCGTCCCAAGGATCACAACACGATAACTTTCGAGAGTCGAAGCTAAGACCTGCTCCTAAAGAAGAGACTATGGAAACCTTTTGAGCTGCCGGGGGCTTCTAGCATCAATTCACATTTCACGCTGGTAAGTAGTGGCAATATTCTATAACAATCGGTCAGGTAGGTAGTGGCAACATTCTACAATGATACGAGGCTAGCTTTTCAGACGCGTATCCACCCAGGAGCCTGATTAGGCACCTATGTCGATTTTGGCAAGTGTAGTTCGTAATTCGTTTTAGGGATAATTTCAAAAACCTTCCCTAAATTTTCTTACAATATCACTAGCCTCTTTTGAAGTTTATAAAATTATACAAATCTCCTTTGAAGTTAAGATTTTGATAATAAATTAGTCCAATTAGAAAAAGTAATATTAAAAAAATACTTTATGGAGAGAGATGAAACTTTGATTCTATAAATACCCTTATGCATGTACATAATTTGTATTAGTAAAAAAATAAATATATATAAAATTTAAAAATAATTAATACACACATTTCATCACTCAAAAAATTCACATTTAATAAATTAGATAATACAAATAAGAAACAAAACAACATTAATGATCACAAGATTCAACAAAATGGACTAGTCATTTCTTTTAACATGATTTTGGTTATGATTCTTGTGATTTTGAATATATTTTTTTAAAAAATTTGCCTTTTTTTCCCTCCTTCCTTTATTAGATATATCAATTAATGTTTTTTTGTAAATACAAGTCATCATTCATCATTAAAAAAATTTTTAACAGTTATTTTGTCAATTATTGCTCTAATTACTTAATCGTTAGATATTAGTAAAGGAGAATAGAGGAAAAATAAATGCAAAATTTTTTCCGCTCAAAATCATAAAAATCATAATAAACATCATTTAAAAAAGATGACTAGTCTATTTTGTTAAATCTTGTGATTATTGGTGTAGTTTTGTTATTTATTTGTATTATCTAATTTATTAAATGTGAACTTTTTGAGTGATAAAATATGTATATTAATTATTTCTACCTTTTAATTATTTTTATTTTTTTACTAATACAACTTATATACTTGCATAAGGGGTATTTATGGAATCAAAGTTTCATCTATCTCCTTAAAGTACTTTTTCAATGTTACTTTTTCTAAATGAACTAATTTGTTATCAAAACCTTAATTTCAGGGAAGGTTTACATAATTTTGTAAACTTTAAGGGAGGCCAATGCTATCGTCAGAAACCCCAGGGGAGGATTCTGAAATTAGATTAATATCTTAGCTCATTTGGCTGAACTACCTAGATTAGTTCAGCCTTGCCTTTTTTTTTTTTTTCCTATTTTTACAGTATGCATGCAATGGAAAACAAGTAACCAGACCATCATAAGGCTAGCTTGTGAGACGCAGATCACATAGGTGAGCCTGATCAAGCACTTAGGTCGATTTTGGTAAGTATTGTTCATAATTCATCTTAACATCCCAGCTTATTTGGCTAAACTACCTATATTAGTTTAGCCTTGCTTTTTCTGTTTTTACAATATACATGCAATGGCAAACAAGTGACTGGACGGTGTGGACAACCCTAGTATTTATTCGTATTTTTTTTTTTGGGTCAACACAGAGGGTGTCCAGGTCAATCCGTAAGGGGTCCGACTAGGATTAGCATTTATTCGTATTGATCATGGTGGAAATGGTAGAGTTTACTGTTTGGAATTTGAGCCTGTGGACAAATGAGGGATTGACGAAGATAAAGGAGCTTTTAAGAAAAGGACAACAAATATTGTGATAAAACATCAGTGGAAAAGTCGGGGGTTTGGTGAACTTGACTACTTGAGCAGGGATAAAGAGAAATTTTAGGGTGACTTCTAAGAGTAATATTGGTAATTTAACAAAAATAGCTGTGGCATTAAGATTTGGGCTGTGGCATTATAACTTGTTGCCCTCTACTAGGCTATTTTTATGAGTTTTATTTAGGCCTAGTTTGGGAGTTTAGGAGCCAGATTCATAGCAGAATTTGAAATAACAATTTTTTTGCCACAAAAAAGAAAACCATAGAGACCCTTTCTTGTCGGGGGTCATATAGAATGGCTCAATTTTTGCTTTGGAAATATTAACTCATTTTTTGATGAAAAAAAAAGAAAAGAAAAAAGAACGAGATGGTGGAAGAACTGATGTTTGGTGAAAGAAGAAGATAGAGATTGTACTGAATTTTCGACCGTTGAGAAGTTAACTAAACTATTAGTTGACATGAGAAAAAACTTATTTTCTACACAACAAAGTTAAGTATGTGATGTGGTGTTTTAAGAACCAAATGGTTTATAAGTGGATTCATGGATCGGGTTCACCCAAGTTTTCGCTTTCTTCAAAAGTGAAGACGGTTCTCGTATTTGTAAAGTTTAGAATATTCTTTTAAGGAGGAAGGCAGAAAAGAAAAAAAAACACCGCTAAATATAGTGACTTGTAAATATTGATAAAATTCAGACTCACAAGAATCACATACAAACATTGAACCTAGGCTAGTTCCCCTAAAAAGGACTTCACAATAAATTCCACAAGCATCAAAGTTGTAATGCACCAATAGAAATTGCAAAAATGACAATAAATATTCTTTCATTTCATAATTTTGAAGCTTATACCCAGTCAGTAAACACAATCAATTGAGCCTCATAGATGATTAATGATGCAAATGATATAGAGGGGGATGGGAATGATGAGAAAGGAGGCAGTGAAGAAAGTTTAACGATGTACATTTTTGAGCGGTCGAAAGTTATATGTAAGATGAGAGAGAGGCTATGTTGAAAAATAATTCGATTGTATTAAACAGAGGACAAAATTAAAAAGTGACGAGTTATTTTTTCAGATATGATTAAGGGTAGAAGGCAGATGGGAGAGGATGACGTAAAATTTGAGCATCCGTGGACCAAATATAAAGGATTAGTGAATAATTTTGTGGAAAGAATTGTTGCCACATTGTGCATTTTTAGGGGACGGGTTTGACTAAGCAGACGAAATGGAGGAATCAAGATAGTATTGTGGGTCCTGTTGTAATAAACTAAGTTTATGGGGGTCAAAAATGAGAAATGAATAAAATCTTAAAGGGCGGTTGCTGGTGATTTGCGAGAGTTCCAGAAGCATAAAGAGAACTCCGAACAAAAAGATAGATACGCTGCTGCTGCTGTGGAGGCTGGAGACTCAGTGACCAAAATTCGGTGTTCAAGTATCCCTTGAGCTCGAAAAAGAGAGGAAAAGAAAAAATTGGGACAGAGTTAAGGAAGATATTCAGGAAATATGCCGAAAAAAATGGGAGTTAATAGCAAAGCCGAAGCCGCTAGGGCTCGAAAGAGCGCCGTGGAGGCCGATCGCAAAGATCGCGAGGCTCATGAGAAGGAAGAGCAGTACTGGCGA